TGAGCGCTTTTGTTATTCATGAAATTTTACAAGTAAATTGCTTTGAAATATTTTAGAATTTAAAGTTAGCAACTCGTGCCCCTTGCGTGATCTGTTATTGCTCGTAATTTCTATCTTGAACAAAAGATTGCTTAGCACCCAAAAAAGGAAGTACCACTTGCTCAAAGTGTTCTCTTTTTTCACAGAATCCAAGGCCTTTTTGGAAAAAATTTATATTCCATTTAATTAAAATTTACTCACAACGCCCCATTTGTTTTGCGAGAAATTACAAAAATACGAACACTCCACATACCTTTTTTCGCGGCCGTTGTCAGTGAAAACAAAAACGTTTGGATCGTTGGATGATATTCGTAATTCGCGTACATTTTTTGATCGGTCATTCAGAATAATTCGAGTTGGAATTTGCACACCCTAAAATGCTTGGCTCATACAAAAGTGAACAGGCCAAATCTTCCCCCTCCTGTTTGTTTTAGGAGACTGAGACACTCAAAATTTAGCTAATCGGGTGGCATTTGTTCGAGACAACAACTCGCTGACAAGCTTTTGGCTGCTTCCTTTCCTAAGCATTGTTTAGAAGCAAGCTAATTACGGTTTTGGTATCAATTTACCGTGGGAACGAACGACGAATCGTAGAGGGATTGGCTATCCCCCGAATAATCCAGATTTTAACTGGCAAATAAAGAATCAATTTTTTGGTCCTAACTATTCAGATTACTGCTCATCTTCCCAAACCGCACCGATAACAACCTTCTTTTGCCTAATACTTTGGTTCGAAAATATTTACTACGAAGTTCAAACAGAGTTTGAAAAGAGATAATAAAAAAAGATACACTTTTGTGGAGCTGGCCTCTCAGCAAATATTCTCCGTCAGCAAGCATGCGAATTCGTTGAGTGCCCTGAAACAAAATTCAATATGCTCATGAAACTGATAGATCTGGCACAGCTGTATTAGGCCCTGGATGTGTCCTAGCAATATCACTAACAACCAATCCCCACATGGACTGCTCAAATGATTTTTTGATAGCCTTGATACATAAGTTTCTAATAATTCCACCAAATATGCAGTTTCTTGTCAATTTAATGAATTAATTAACAGTCACTTAACTGCGATTATTTAGGGTTTAGATACACTTACCGGCGACAAATTTTCGGACACCGAACCGCCATTCAAAATTGGTGTTTCCAAATCATAATTCAAATTCTAAAAAAAACAAAATTATTCATATCAAAATCAAACAATATATGCGATCTTCGAGAATTGACTCTGATCAAAGTCCCTGTCTTTACCATTTGAAATCCCTATCTTTACCCCTCTCCAAGACAATTTGAAAATTTGCCAGTTTTGCCGTTTCATAGAAATTACAAAAACTTTAATTAAAAATTTATTGGTGCTTTCAAGGCTAGCAAATCTCATAAAAAATAAAAACGGAAATCCCCCTCTTTGGCCAAACCGCTTTTTAGAACCAGCAACCTTTGGGGCTAGCTTTAAAAGTACCAGTAAGCTTTTAATTAAAGATTGTATAATTTCTAAGAAACGATAAATTTGGGCGAGTTTTCATTTCGACGACAAACTAGTACTGATCTACATTTGCTCTAGAAATATTGTTCTTTGATAAAAAATTATCAATTTTTAGGCAAAAAATTTGAATGATATGAAAAATGGAGCCAAATCTTCCACCGGAACTGACGGATGGTAGTGGAGAAATCAGCACCTCTATGATTCTTTTCGATGACAAACTAGTACTAACCTAAATTTACTATGCCAGGAAATCACAGGAGGTGGAACAAATAATACTCAGTGCAGCCCAACCAGCCCAGCCCCCTAGCAGGCAGTTATTGCTGGCGCTGCGCTATCGTTTAAGCTATTTCTGAACGCATCCGTCTCACATAAAGGGAGTAAAATATGTAGCAAATCTTGAACAAAAGAAGAGGAATCGAGGATTCTAACAACGGAAATTAGCTAAATTCCAATTTTACAAAAAAAGAACCTTCGATGCCGATGAAACATTACGATCTCGAAGTGCTTCTCTTGACTGCTTCCGAATATGGTCCGAGGAATGATATTTTTTACTCGCTAACTGATTGTTTACAGCTGGTAATCGTTCCGAAAAAACGCTACGTCTTGTTAACTGTGATGGCGCAGCGGTTTCCACTGGTTCAGTCATAACAGACTGACTAAAATGGAACATGAAAACGATGATAACAAATATATTTGGAAGGCCTAGAAAATTTTTTTGTGATTTGGAACACAGAACCCATATATGTAGCTGGTAACTTTTCCATCAGCTACAGTCTTCTTCTTTGCAGACCCACACCATTCCAAACATTCAAATAAATTGATAATTTACCACTCTCCTCTTTAATGTTATCAAATAACAAACAGCGGAAACCTTCCACTCTGATTTCATATAAAAGCGATTTTCCATACTACATTACCAGACATTGATAAAATATCAAATAAATGAAATTTTTATCGAAAATTAAAGCCTCTTGGCATTTTGTATTGGCATAATAGTGCTAAGAAACTATTTTGTTTTTCTTTCCACTTCACTGCATCTAGTTTTCTTAATAAAAAGTTTTTGAAATTTCAAAAAAAAGAAGCAATAATTACTAGAAGCTCACATACAGACCTGTTATTTGAAAAATGAAACGGAAATGGCTGGACAATTTGAAATGGCGCTTCCTCCAGAAACTTCTCGAGCAGAAGTACATCTCTGTAGGCGCAGTCAAACATACGCGCTTCCTCTGCAAATTTACTTGCGAAATCAACAGTGAAAACTTTCATAACATTCACTTTCTACGATAGACAGAAATACCAGGAAGTAAACCAAACGGCAACACATGCCAGCTGCAACCACCCGTCGGTCAATGATTCAAACAAGCTGTTGATAGTTTATGCCAAACCCTAGCATATGCCAAATCAATTTACTATTGAAATGAATGAAAAGAATCGTGGAGGGACTGGTTGTTTCACTGGCAGGATCGAACCCCGGAGCTTCGGCACTAGAATAGCGCTATTTGCCACTGCGCCATGCTCGTTAAACTCGTTGAAAAAATTTAGCTGAAAGTTACAAAAAATTCTCTAGATAAAAAATTAAAAAAAAAAA